AGAAAAACAGTGCTTCTGCAAGAAAATAAACGATCATTCAGGGGTTTTTCGAAAAAACAGCACATTTATTTCCAACTGGCGACGGGTACTAACTGGAGGTATGCAGTCCATAGCTGTGTCTAGGCAGCCAAATAACAATACTGTTAATAGAATCTATACTAAATGTCATGGCACTCTTGCTTTTTTTGTTAGTTGTAATTTTTAAATGTAAAAACAATAATACTTCAAAAATGAAACCACCAGCGATGCTGCCAGCTACTAGTTACTGTTGTTAACTTGCTACCAATCAGGCTATTTTCGAGCGCTTTCAATTTTCAGGCAGTTTTAAAGAGCGAGGGAGTTTTGACTTTTGACACATTGTCTTAACATTGAACCACTGGTTCACATGTTCCAATGCTACCCACAAAGGTTTCTCACTGTAAGTCTAACGGGGTTTTTTTTGGTTTTTGCCGGTATTTAACAAAAATTTTCCGATATTTTCTCGCTGTAGTGCTTAGCAGCCCAGTATCATCATGCACAAACCGATTGTCCGAACGGGTTTTCTCGGAATTTTCTCACTTTTTTGGATATCTCAACCAGTACTCTAAGTTTCGTAGTAAAATATAAGGAACAGAATCGTAAGCTTTGCTGAAAATTATTTGACCGTTATTCTTAAGACAAATTCATGAACAAGTGGCCAAAACAAAGAGGCGGTTACGTACTCTGCGGGATTCTTCTCGCAACCAGATCGATCCTGAACAATGTTCCCTTCGATCTCATTTTCATTATCTTCGTTGACCAGAAATCGTTCCAATTCGCTGAATAACAATCTCCTCAACCTAAAAAACATTCAGAAATTGTAATTTCTACTATTACTGAATACTAAATTACAGTGTTTTTCGGTATTTTGTTTAACAGCAATTCAAATCCTACCTACAATGAACCAAAAAACCCCTTAGCATTCGATATTCAAAACTCTTTCGCCTTTCCTTTCTCCCAGTTTAAAAGCCAGTGCCTACAATAATTCCACACATATAATATCTAGTAAGGTTATTTAAAAATCACGTATTCGAGTGGATCAGATAAGTTTGCAGTTAATGTTTCATCCTTTAACTGTAAACACAGACAGAGCATCGGATGCGAGTAAATGTAGGAATTGTAAGTTTAATTTGATATATATAAATTTGTACATTAATATTTTTCAAAACATTTATAATTTCACATCTCGGCCACTTACAACAATCTTTTGATATGCGGCCACTTTGCCTTTCTAAATCATTTGGTTTTAATAGAATCTGGAAACAATTTGCTTTTATGCACTGATAATGTTCAGGAAAAAAAAACCGTACTCGGCGACCAGCAGCGGTGTCCTCTGCTCCCGCTTGAAAATTGCCAAAGTGGGAAAATCCCTGATATGCAGAGCGTCTGCCAACGGATGAGATTTCAAGCATCGGCGAGCCACCAGTCGATCCGAATATTTGGACATATCAAGTATAAGCTAAAGTAAAAAGCCATTTTGAAAATGTTCAATGAAATTCGCATAACATTTGAAGTAAAAATTTATCGGAATTTTTGCTCAATTCGTTAATTAAATTAATTTTTGTTCAAATGTTTGTGGCCCAAGGTATTTGAACTTAATTTTTATCCCGAAAACTTAAAAATTTTGTTTCGATCAAAAATTCAGTTTAAATTTTAAACCAGAGTTTTGGGAAGGCTAAAAATCGCCTGGGCAGCCGATATAGGTATATCGGTTCGTGATGCTGCTGGGATGCTCTCACACGTCGGGAACAGCTATAACAGGAAGGTCTATATAAAGTCTATATATAAAGAAATTCTGCCAGTAACAACTTTTTTTTTACCTCCGCTCCAACAACCGAACTCATCGAATCCTCGAAAATGATCACCAACAACGGTACCGAACGATTCATACTGGCCCACAGCTCGCTGAATGTCCGAACACTGAAACAAATTTCGCAAAATTCTTGGAAAAAAATTAGTGGGCTAGATCCCGTCAACATAGGTTTGGCGAAAAAATTGCTAGCTCGGGAACCAGAAAAGCTGAGAAGCCGAGATTTTGGGGGGATGTTGATTAAAATTTTTTATAACTGTTAATTTTAAAATTTCAAACATTTTAGAAAACAGACAACATTACTTGCTTTCTCTTCGAGAGCACTGATCAGAATACTTGTGCTAAAAGCTCTTGTAGAGATA